GTGTACTCCGACTTGGATTGGGAATGGCGTTGACGTTCCCACTGCACAGCGTATGGCGCCCGTCGTGTTCGTATAGAGGAGTTTGATCCAGCGAACGTACTCTTCTGGGACGTCGTGTTTCCTCAGCGCATACCAGATCAGCCCGTGCGGTATCCGATCAAATGCCTTTTCTAAATCCAGGAATGCGAAATGAATCGGAATCCGTTTCTCCAAATGCCTTTCCATTAGCAATCGTACCGCGTGGATGGCGTTGATGGTGCCAGATCCTTTTACAAAGCCACATTGATTCGGGGTGACCTCCACTATACTTCGAATGCGTGCGTCGATGACTCGTTCGAAGATCTTCATCGTGTGGCATAGCAAGCGTATTGGTCGATATGTTGAACAGTCGCTGACGTCGCCCTTTTCCTTCCAGATAGGGACTGTGACACTCGTAGTCCAGATTCGCGGCAACTGTCCGTCTACGATAATGCGGTTAAAGAGCGATGTGAGATATGCCGCTCCACGCTGCCCCATCATCTTCCACACTTCAGCAGGTATGTCGTCGGGTCCCGGAGCTTTTCCGTTAGACATCTTCCTCAGTGCCTGCACAACTTCTGCCTCCTCGATCCGGGATACCGGTCCATATGTGGGGGCTCCTTGCGGTATTAACGGGTGCGGGAACTCCTCATTAAATAGCCCTTTGTAGTATTCACTCCACCGCTTGAGTATTGCCCTCGGCTTCGTCAGGAGGTTGCCCTCTGCGTCCTTAATGTGCATGACGTGGTCGGTGTCCTGCTTCGCTCGATGTCGTGCCGCGGCCAGCCGGTAGACCTTGTTCGCTCCAGCAGGTCCTTCCAGCTCGTCGTAAAGTCTCTTGTAGTGAGCTTCCTTTGCTTCGGCTACCGCGTGCTTCGCCTTCGAGTTCTGCTCTCGATACCGACGGAGGTCTTCATTTGAGCGTGAGCGTTGCCAGGATTTGAAAGCTTTTTTCTTCTCCTTGATCACTTGCTGGACTGACTCAGACCACCACCAGATCTGCTTGTCAACAAACCGGCGTCCTGGCTTGGTGGTTCCCAAGATTGTCTCGGCCCTCGACCGTATCTGCGAAGTAATCCGATTCCACTGCTCTTCAATCGACTCCTTATCATCCGTCGACACCCTCAAATCGTTAAGAGCATCTCTGACTTGCTGGCGGTGTTCGGGGAGCTTCCACCATTTGATCCTCTTTGTAGTCGTCCTTCTGGCTCGTGACCGCAAGTGGATGTTCAATCGAAGATCCAATACAAGCAACCGGTGTTGTGGCGCAAATGCATGTGTCGCCGTGGGTATAACCTTCGCGTTCATCACCATTGGCAAGTGGCATCGGCGCAGCATCCAGTAGTCGATTTGAGTTGAGCGTTCTCCACTCGCGTACGTGATCAAATGTGACTCTCGCTTCTTGAAAAATGTATTCGCTATCGCCAAGTCGTGTGCTTCTGCTGCTTCCAGGATGCGTTCTCCATCTTCATTCCTCTGACCGTATCCGTTTCCACCATGGTATCGCTTGAATCCACAGTGTTCGTGGCCAACGTGCCCATTGAGATCGCCTCCTACGAACATGTAGTCTGCAGCGTCGAATGTCCTTAGCAGGATGTCGAAGTCCCTCCAAAACACGTCCTTCTCGGCTTCGGTACATGCGGCTTGCGGGGCATAACACGAGACTATTCGGAGCGTGGCATCATCTGCTTCGATCTTCATCGCCATCAATCTATCTGAGATGCGCGTCACTTCGGTCACTAATTCGCGGTATCTACCGTTGACGATGATCGCGACTCCGTTCTGGCGGCTGCTATCTCCGCCTGCCTCCCTTTCCATTTCGTTTCCTGTATACATGCGATGTCGACGTGTCGTTCCTTCAGCCTATCGCATAGTTCCCGACTGCGGCTCGTCAGCGTTCCTATGTTGATCGTCGCTAGTCGGATTTCCTGGACTCGCTTCTTTGGCCTGCCTCGTCCGGGGGCAGGTAGCCCTAGCTCACTATTCGCGCCATGCGGGCAATGACGCGCGTCGCCTCCGGGAGACGCCCTAGCAGCTTGACAGATTTCCTTAATAGTCCGATGCATGTGACACGACTGATTCGTACAGTCCCCGGCGCGTCGCTCCGCCTGGCGGGACAGTGCCCTCGTCGTTTGCCGGGGTTGGTCCCCGTTGCCAGCCGGCACCGCGGGGAGGTGACGATGGGACTTTGCCGGCCACAGCCCTTGCTTTCAAAGTCTTCTATATTTCTATAGACTCATTGAAAATCTCGTAAAGTTGTTCTGATCAGTCATGGCAGTATTAGGCATGTTTACGACAGGACGTATCAAGGTATAGTATGAATGTGGAATGTGAAGGATGTGACTTTTTTGATGCACCAAGAACAATTGAGAAGCTAACTTCAAGTCATCGAATATTTGATGTCTTGAGAGTTCACTTATTTCTATCATGAACATGCCTAGGCTATGGTAAATCCTCAGTACAATTTTACGATGTTTTTATCAGGCTTATGGGAAGGTAGAAAACATTGAAAACGAAGGCTGATCCGCTGTGGATCAGGGGATGACAGGACATTGCCATACAACCAAAGAACTTTACTGTTTGTGTGATCCTCTGCGATCATCCTCTTTTTTAGTGCATACCTTCCCATAGACATGATGAAAACGCTGTAAAATTGTACTATAGTCCATATTGGTACTGCAAGGCATGTTTATTGGGCTGCACGTCAGGAGGTACGCCGCGCGCGGCGGCCGCCTCGCCGCGGCCGCGTCCCGATCTTGGACCCATAGAGCTCCCCATATCAGAGACTCCCGGCGGCAAAAACACGGGGGTGGGGGGAGAGGCAGATACATGACTCAATGCCATAAGTAACATTGCGCCTGCAGTGCTGCTATTGTATTGGTTGAAGTACGTTGCGGCGTCGCTTCGCGAAAAATTGGCGCCGATCGTACCTCCTGACCGTCCCCCCGTTTATTGTAAATCTTTGCACTGGAAAAGTTCGAACGAACTACTGTTTGCAAGCTAGGGTTTTCGAAAAACTCAAAACCATCACATCTGTCCTGTCCAAAACATATCTAACACTGTCATAATAGATTCTCAATACAACTTTACAACGTTAACAGCGAGTTTTTGGGGATATAAGCGAGCTTCAAAAGCATGAGAGCATTATTATGATTTACAAGTTATATAATCTCTGTGATCTTAGCTTCAGCGAATTAGGTTTCCAAACATTGGGCACTTAAGTGGGGCGTTCATTGGCAAACATGTTAACTTTGTTTGAAAAGTGAGTCAACTACTTCTTTTTGCACTTGATAATGAATATTACTCCTTTGCTCACTATAGGGACACCACTTTAAATAACTTCCGAACTGTGGAAGTGAGAGCAAGCTAGAGTCTCTTTTGTCCCAACTTTGCTTCCATTATCTCAGAATAGAAAAAAAGACCAATCAAGCTCAAATTAACTTTTCTGAATACTTTAACACATTGACGACAATACGACCCACCGGTGGGTCGTAAGATTCATGAAGCGCTATCTTTGCCGTTTTACGACGGAATTCTACGGGATTCCGGCACATGATCGGGGGCACTTAGATGAAGCTCCAGCCAGAGTGGTCCGAACTCGGGATACTGTAATGTAATGTTACGGTTGGTATACGGTAGACATCTATAAGGCACAAGCTTTAGCTCAAATTCTTCGTAAAATGATGCTCTTTCTGGAGATACAAGTTTACATCTAAGAGTAATACGGGGCGGGCGAGAGGCTGACGTTAATCCACCAAAAAATTATTGGTTTTATTGATTTTTTGCATTTTTCGTCCTAGGAAGCTCGAACTTTGTATATATAGGTTTTGTAGCATGCTGATTACGAAAATGATAGTCTCAAGTTTTGATACCACCTTCTAACATCAGTTTCTTGATTTCTACGAAAATTCTACCGTACTGCTACCGTAGTCTCACCGTGAGAATTTAGCGAACAAATGGACATTATAGTCGTGATCAGCACGTGAAATAACCCCAATACATAAATTTTCATGAACGTGAAATAACCCCAATACATAAATTTTCATGAAAATCCATGATGTTGGGTTTGTACAGAATGACTACCGTAACCTTACCGTATAACGCCAAAAACTGAAATAAATCATATTTTGGTAATCAGCGCGTTCGATAACCCTTGTGGGGAAATTCTCGGAGACATGTTCTGAATTTCTTACAAAAAGACTACCATTTCGGACAATACGACCCACGGGTGGGTCGTAAGTTTGGCAGAGCAAAAAAAGCTCCTGTCCGAAATTGCAGTAATCGAAAAATCGGCCTTGTCGTCAATGTGTTAAGGAATATATGTACAGGGCTTACCAATAGCAGTGCCGGGTGCACCAGCATCTCCACTCCCACGCGTTCACTATTGGTTCAGTTGGTCAAACCACGAATTGACCAATAGCGAATGGGATAAACAGGATGAATTGGTTGAAGGCACAGTCCACCCAGGTTCTCGACTTCAGTGTTTTGATGTTTTGTGACCTTCTCCGAAACGGTGGTTGGATGGGCGCACAGGGATGGGCATTGCTGGACGGTGCCGATGGGATCCACATGCCTCTTCGCTATTCCGAAGCGACATTTTGCACCGCACTTGGGCATTGGCTTGATAGGTGGTTCTACTATCGTAAGCTGGCGAAAGCTCGAGATCCCTTACTTAGGGTTGACGGTGCCTCAAAAAAGGCTAAGTTTGGCACCTGTCCTAAGGTAACTAACGGTGCTGTATGAGGCACCCTCAGATGTGGTACAAGTCTTTGGCGGGCAGATATGCGGGTACGCAGGTTTTGTAGTTTTTCTGAATCAAGTATATACATACTGCAACCCCGTAGAAAGAAAACAGCGCATTTTAATGGACTAGGCGTAAACGATTAGCATTTGCAGGTTCGCCGATTATGGACTTTTATTTTTGGACTGCTATTGTCGTGCAGAATCAAACAGTATTCACAGTTCTGTCATGCATATTGCAGGGAGAATATCTTGGACGACGGGGATACATACTGGAATGAGGAATTCTTTCCTGAACTTGTGCAAATGTGGGTCAGAAACTCGGATTTTGAAGCAGGCGCACAAAACAACAGCAGTTTCGAAAGTTCCGACGAAGATCCAGAGCAGAGCACTACTGAACTGTCGGATGAAGAACTGAACAGCTCTACGGCGCTTGACGAACAAGCGGAAAGTGACCGCTCCATCGTCGTTGACGAAGAAGCGAGACACAACCGTTCCATCGTGCATGATGAAGAAGGAAGTAACAGCACTATCGTGGTTGAGGACACGATAACCAACCACTCTGTCGTGCATGATGAAGAAGCGAGAAACGAAGGTAATATCGTGCTTGGCGAGGACGCAAGAACTGACGAAGAGGAGGAAAGCTACAGTTCTGACGGGTACTCCGAAGACGACGAGGTATACTTTAACTGCTTTGAAACTATGTTTGTTCAACGTGGTTATGTTAAGAGGGCGAAGAGCTCCGCTGCTGTTCCCAACGCGGATTCAGAGAGATCGATTTTCTTACAGTTACTTAAAACCTACTCCGCATTTCGCAACGCTACATCTGCAAACAATGAGGTGTTTCATTTGGATAGATCTGGTTGAGTACAGTGTTTTCTGCAGTAACCCTCAATTTAGTCTGTTACCATACTTGAAAAAAGCTCCACGACTGGTGTGGGAAATGCACTGGATTCAGAGAGATCGCTTTTGTCTCCGTCACGAGAAACCTCACCTTCTGACAGCAATACTTCGTTTGCAGGCTGTGAGGTGATTTGATTTTTATTTTGCCTAAGACGCTGCCATATACAGTACCGCTCATAATTCGTCAAAAAAGTCGCCGGACTGCGGCGCACTCCGCCAGAGTGCGCTGCGGTCCGGCGGAGTGCGCCGGAGTGCGACGCAGTCCACTAGAGTGCGTGGAGTGCGCCGCACATTACTAGAGTCCGTCGGAATCCGCGTCGCATCGCCATACTTCGCTTCGGAATGGACGAATTCTGAATCCGAGGATACGGTATGCAGAAGTGCCACCCATCGATGTACTGTAGGTATACGGTAAGCAGTAAGTTTTCGCTCAGTTTTGGTTTGGTTAGATTAGTCAGTGTGCTGATTACAACATTGATTTGCTGCTGATGGCACACGTACGGATACTGTTGGAGTATGGTAAAGGGTCACTTTGAACTTTGATCGATTTGTTCTAAGTCCAGCTCAGGGTATTTCTCATGCGCTTACTGCGGTAATTGCAGTCATTTGATGCTCAAGGCACAGTGCGCATGGATCTGCGATGTAAGGTCATCTTGATTGCGTTCAAAACGTTGCTTATTGTTGCTTTCACGTGCTGCTCGTTCCGAATAGAAAGATCACATGTCGCAGTGGCCATCTGAAACGAAATGATGTCATCAAGTCCGCCTTGGTGAGCTGATTCCTAATCTACTTTCCTTATTTGCTGAACGGCTCTTTATTGGAAGTTATAGCGTCTCCAAACTTCGCAAACAATCAATGTCACACCAAAAATTAGCGGTACAAGAACCCTTCACTATGTATCCAAAATTTTTGCTCTTTGTAGTGAGTACGCACAATATCATGCCCATTATGGCCTTTTGAATTGGTCTTTAAAATAATGTGCAGACGTAGCTCAATGACTCTATACTTTCAACCGCTTATAACTTCTGTCAGAGACTCGTTCAGCAGCTAGGGAAGGTGGATATCTTATCGAGGCCCTTTGATATGCATTTCGGCAGGATCGATAGTTGTGATCTTAAGGTCATTTCCTGTTCCATAGTAGTAATATTCATTATAAGGTCATGCTGTAGAGTACAATTGACGTTTTTACTTACAAGGGAATGGTCAGAAATCGAAGTGGCCAATTCAAGCAAACAGCATACCATTAGATGCAGCATAAAACATTGACTCTAAGTCTGTCTTCCTTATCTGCAGAGCACTTTTGTGGACAAATTATAAGCTGCTAAAGGCTGTTATTTTGCTAAGAAATTGTGCGTGCAAAGGGCAAACTTGCCCGTACAAAGCCATTTTCGACTCAGTGTTGGACCAAAATATGCAACTAGGTCACTTCATATGGTCCGTATCTGGAAATGAGCTAAAACAGCAATGATGCGCTTAATTTCGCAATTTTCGTGTACGATTTTTTCGAGGTAAAGTTGCTCATAACTTCGCCTACAAAAGCGCTCTGCAGATATGGAAGACAGATTTGAAATCAGCATTCTATGCTGTATCGAATGGTATGCAGCTTGTATGGATTGCCCACTTCGACTTCTGACCATTCCCTTGTTAGTACTTACGCGATTTAGCTGCGTATAGTAAACATATTTTCCTGAGCTCGTGTTTTCACCATAACATATCGCAGCGCACATTGCACATAAAAAGTTTTTATAAGTGTTTTTCAGTAGAGCTGTGTCTACATAATATCCTAGATAGAAAACTACTTAAAGGCCTTTTTTCATGGCCGAGAGAAAGAGTGGTGAATTTCGGGGATATACAAGGTTTAGGAATTATCAATTTACCGTAGGTCTACAGCACCACAATAGAAAACGAATTTTGCGTTAGTGCTGTAATCTGCATGCCATATTGCCCATCTGAGCTGAGTTTCGCGTTGATCTGAGGTCTTCACTTCCGTTGTGCGGACGGGTTTATGCAAGTTTACAACTCAATGCTATCTGTAGGTGGCGGAGTCCCGTGGGCATCACGCGATAGAGCAGCCTCCCTAGTCTTTAGTAACAGACGGAAGGCGCAGAAAATCTTTGCTGTGAGAGAGTAAATGGCTGGCAAACTTTGTTCACCTAAAAACTGCCTACCGTAGCCCTACAGTAAGAAGCTAGCTTGCAAATTAGATATGATTTTCATGATTAGCGGGTCAGAAAACCCCTGTGGGCGGACTTTCAGTGAAAATCGGGACGTTTGATTTTTTCTCGTTCCTCGCTCTTGAGCTCGCCGCAGGTTTTGCCTAAGATATTAATGTTCTTGATTCGACCTGAAACTTCGCTCGCAAAGGTTTTAGGACCCACTGTTTGCGAAAGCCTTAGCTATTCTGCACGAAAAATCGCGTACCTTGGCGGAGTGTGTCAGAAGCGCATAACACATTAGAAGTACCAATTTCATCTTGCACTTGAGAAACCCAACAGGTCTCATCAAAATAGCGATTTTTAGGTTTGGGACAAAATTCATGAGAACGTGATTTCGTAAGCTCAAATCTGGGGAATAGTGCAGCTGAAGGCACAGACAAAGTAATTTCCGACTGTACTGTTCACAGAGACTCCACCCTACAAGAATGCGCAGGCAAGTCCGTCAGCAGACAGGTGAAAAGAGCAGGCAAACCTGCGAATTTGCGTGACTTAGCTAGATACCGCTTAATGCAACTTTGCAGTAAAACCCTTTCGTGCAGAATAGCTAAGGCTTTCGCAAACAGTGGGTCCTAAAACCTTTGCGAGCGAAGTTTCAGGTCGAATCAAGAACATTAATATCTTAGGCAAAACCTGCGGCGAGCTCAAGAGCGAGGAACGAGAAAAAATCAAACGTCCCGATTTTCACTGAAAGTCCGCCCACAGGGGTTTTCTGACCCGCTAATCATGAAAATCATATCTAATTTGCGGGTGGGGGAACGAGCCGCCAGGTCCAGCCGCCTTTCGCGGCCAGCTGGTCCTTTCGCAGCGTTGTTGCATGTCGTTCCAGGACCAGCAAGTACTCTGCGTTGATACCACTGCTT